TCGCTAACACCCTATTTGGGAAAACGCAAATTACTAAAAATTGAACTGATTCCTAAAGCTGCATGTGTGTCACTTCAGTTGAACACAGGCTGCATTAAGTTCCGTAAAATCGCGGCTATTTCGCTAGACTGTCGCTGGCTTTCCTGTTACACACTCGATAACCTCTGTCCAAGCCTATAACATTATAGGAACAGCGCGGTTGAGGGTTGGCCGTCTAGGGATATGTTCTTATCATCACCTGTGCCTTTACTTTGCAAATAATGCGGGTACGTACAGATGTTTTGTGGCAAGCGTGGGTTGTCGAAAGCAATCAAACTGACACAGTGGCATGCGCGTTTGCGTGAGTATGCACACACGCTGTACAGTAAAATACAGTTATGGGAAAGAAGATTGCTAGCGTTACAGGCGAGAGTTGGGGAAAAAAAAGAGAAAGCGGCGAGAGAGGAGCGAAAGTGGATGAAAATCGAGACACCGGAAAGACGAGAGCGAAGAGATAAAGTAAGGGTGACGAGATGGCGGGGCGAAGGATGGAGAGTGAGAGAGGTAATGACAAACGGGATAGCAGTCATTAAATGGTTCGGACGGAACGTGAAAAGATGGGCAGATAGGGCAGATTGACAAAAAAGCGACAGAAACAGACACGTACGACGCCGCGACACACACCGACTGTATAGACACACACACACACACACACACACACACACACACACACACGACACAACACACCACACATACACACACACACACACACACACACACGACACACACCGCGCGCGCGCAGCACGCAACGCACGCAGCGCATCCTGCGCGCGCGAGGGGTGGGGGCAGGCTACACGAACTGAGAGGCAGGCAGGCAAGTCAGGCAGAGGACCAGATGTGCAAGGGCAGGCGATTGCATGCTGCACAGCGGTCCCCCAGGCCCGTGGCCTTACGCGTTAGGCGCGAAGCGCTGTAGCATCTCCCCCTCTGCCCCCCTTTCCTCTCGTACCTCGCGCTCTCTCTCTCTTTCTCGTCTAATCCCTCTCGCTCCTTTCTTTCTCTCTCTTCGCTCTCTCTCTTCTCTCTCGCTCGCGTCTGTCTCCCCTCTCTTCACGCTTCTCTCTCTTCTCCCCTCTCTCTCCCTCTCGACTCTCTCTCTCCCCTCTTCTCTCTCTCTTCTCTGCTCGCCTCTCTCACTGCTCTCTCTCCCCCCTCTCTATAATCTCTCCCTTCGCTCATCTGCTCTCCTCGCATTCGCGGCCCGCGTGTCGCGCTGCCAGCACCATCGATGCATGGCGCTCAGCAGTATTGAGGCGAAAAAATGACTCCGCCGGCGCGCTCTGCAGCCTCAGCACAATATCCGCGTCAGCCGTGAAACGTGGGGCACGGGGAGCGGAGTGAGATGAGCATTGCGCGTACAAGCGGCGAATCACGACCCCCCCCGCCACCACACCCCCGCATATGATTGACGCATGATCTATAGTCGACGGACGTCACTATTAGATGGATATTGCGTGGTTCGTGTGCGAAGAGAGGCGTATAGCGGCAGGGCGAGAGCTAACGTAGTCGTTCACTGGGGGTTATCAATAGCTTACCGGGGCGGCCGATCTCTCGTATCAGCAAGCATTTCACAGCGAGTGTGGCGACGCGTATGCGAACGAGACGAAGAATCTCGCGTTACAATGGAACCCGCATAGGGCTGAGCTTAGCGCAAGAGGTGGGCCTCAGGTGGAAGGGCAAAAATATTGTATAGCAACGAAGGAAGCTGGAGTCTGCATGTGTCATACCACAGGAGATCGAGAATTTCATATACGACAGCAGTAGGAGTCCTAACAGAGAGATCGGGGTGCGGGGAGGAGCTGATCGAGATTGGGGTATGACGAGAGGGGTAGTAAGTCAGTAAATTGGATTTTCCCCCATAACAGCAACGCTCACATCCTGGCTAAATTAACATCACAGTGATGCGTGTAGCCAAACTGCAGAGATGAGGTCGCGCGCGGACGGGAGGGGATGGGGAGGCGGCTGTGTACGCTGTAGTGTGGGTAGACTGCGACTGCGCTGAGCCCGCACATTGTCTGCCGGTGATCTATTGAACGCGTAGCAGTCAGTAGTACC